TGTACATCAGGTTTCGGAGATTTGTACATCAAGGTATTCCGGCAAAAATCCATACGCAGAATCCGTAATTTCCAAGCCCCCCAGGACACCTAAACCCGATTTCCCCCCGCGTCTTTAAAAAGTTTCCCCGCTGGGGAGCCCGTGCCCCCCTGTGACGTAGAGAGGGGGGCGACCCACTGGGGTCAAGGCGCGATTGCCGCAGACCTCGCCTTCGGGCACATGTCCCCCGCGACGGTGTCACCAGCGGCGACTGCGGTGTGGGCGATCAGGCCGATGTTGTAAGAGCGCCTGGAGTACCCGCCTGGGTCCCAAGTCATGGCCAAAGTGGCCGCATGCTTGAACGAATTCTTCATCATGTCCCTGTGCATCCTCGACATCGCGTAGCTGATCCTGCCGTCAAGGTCCTTCGACCCGATCACCGCCGTCACCGTCTGGTTGGACGAGCCAGCGACCTCCCTCGCCCGCTGCATGGCGGCGACGATTGCCTGGGGATCGAGGCGCCGACGGCGCTCCGCGCATCTCGGCTCCTCCAGTCGGCCCCGCGTCCCAGGATCCTGCACGGGGATGCGGTGGTACAGGATGTAAGCTCCCATGCTGATGGCAAGCGCCTTGCAGAGGAATGACAGCAACGCCTGAGCACCAGGGCGACATGTCTGCCTGGCCTCGCCAACGCGCGAGGACAAATCCGACAACAGGTACAGCACAACTGACGTTACAGAATTTGACTCCCCAGACACACGAAGATTGCTGAGCTTGCCTGCGCCTGCCAAGAATGCAGGCCAGCCCCGGGCAATGCGTGGGCTAGCGGCAACGACCTCTCCCCAGCCGCGGACAACCCCAGTAACATGGTCCAGCGTCACACGATCAGGCACCAATCTGCCCTCGAAGTGGGCGCCCACAGTCAACGCGTCAGCCAATGGGGCGCGGCTCAAGCCATCAACTGAGATCTGCAACCACGCCCCGACTGTGCTCGTAAGGGGCGAACGCCCGTGGTGATCGGCAGAACGAACGAACTTATACAACAACCATGGCAGTATCAAGTCCGTCCTCAGCGAGACGCTGGAGACGCCGCCGCTGCCGCCGAGGTCAAACGGACCAGCATCCAGACGGCGTGCGCCCCTAAGGTTCTCAAACAACCCCCTGCGCCTCTCAGACGTGTGGTAATCGCCGTAGTTCTTGATGCCGAGCTCGACCAGCCAATGGTCTTGGAACCACTGCAATGACTGCCCGGGGTCTCGGCCTGCGACCCGGAAGACCGCATAGCCCTCCCTCGTCAGCCCCTTGATGTTCACGGTGGCCTCCGCTGTCCTGTCCCATGTCAAGGACGTGGGCGGCCGTGTCCGCCCGTGCCCTGCAAGCGGATCGCCCATCGTTGCCAGTCGATGGCATCGTGCCTGCTGGCGTCCAGCATGGGCGGGCAAACTCCAGCTAGCCCAATCGTTCGAGCCAAAATGGCTGCGGTCGGGGCGGGGGCGAGAATGAGTGGAGTGACGAAGAGGGGGGGATGAGGTGAGAGGGGAGAAGGGGATGGGGCAGCAGGCGCCGAGCTCCCGAAAGGTCGCGAAAGGGCTTCCAGAAAGCCCCAGGATCCAGGAGCGCCCCGAATAAAGCATTACCGGAACGAAGTTAAGCCACACAGAACATATACCCCATGCCTGCCTCAACATGGCCATGGAGAGGCCACGATCGGGGCCCCAGGCCTTGAGGGCTACAAGAGGGCCTGAACAACAAAGTGCGAGAACGATTAGCACTGGGCGAGGGGTATCTCGTCAGACTGCGCTGACATTCGAATCTTCAAGGTCACTGAACTGATGGCTACCTACTCTGGCCAAGCGAGCGCCGCCTGCGCCACAGCGAACGCGGGGGGCGGAGTAGGAACGAAACAACCCAACCGAGGTCGAGGAGGGGGCGGTCCGCAGTACTTGATTTTTTAAAAATAAAAAAAACTGAAGTCCAAGATTTCCCATTCTGTCAAGGTGGCTTTCAAATCATTCAGGTTCCCTGGTGGGATCGCTCCAGCCCCCCCAAGTGCCCGCCCTCCTCGACCTCGGGTGCTTCGGTCAGGCCCCCATCATCCGCCTCCCCCCTTCGACGTCGCCCTCAGAGGGGTCGCTGGCAGAGTATGCGCACCTTGGAACCTGCAGTCACGCATGCCCTTGAACGCGTGGGCGCGGCTGCTGCCCGCCTACCCCGCCCGACAGCACTGGGCGCGACCAATCAAGTGATTGGCAACCCTGGCGCCCACTTCGGGCCAGCGGGACGCAGCTGCAAACCCAACTTTGAGACTCCAGGCCGATCAGAGAGGACATGTTATGTTGTGATGTCGTTGCGAATGCTCCTAAGTGCTTGTTACTGTTATGCGATGTTGCTAACCAGCCTGCGTCTGACAAAATCTGGGCGATGCGACTGACTATGTTCGCCGCGGAGGCGATGCCGTTGGCCCTTCAGAGGGCCGCTCAACATGCAACAGCTGACTCACTCACTCTTGGTCTCGTCCGCCTTGGCCTTCTTCTCGGGCGGGCCTTCGGGCATGCCTGCGGGCGCGCTGGGCTCTGAAACAGCGGGCGCAGGTGGCTTTGCATGAGACATCTGAACAAAAGCCTCGAGCAAACATGGTGACATTTCCAGCTCGCCATCAGCCGTGAGCTTGAGGCCCTTGCCCTGGAACGGCGTGAAGACCGAAGAGGCAGCCTCTGCCCCCGCGCCTGATGAACCGCTGGCCAGGCTGGCGGCGGGGCCGACGCTGGCGGACGCACTCGTGTCCTGGGCCGCTGGCTTCTGGTCGTCCTCATCGCCGAACAACCCCTCCTCGAACTCCTCCTGGGATGTGAACTTGGCTGACGGGTCGGCCGCCTTCGGCGTGGCCTTCGATTTGCCAGCTCTCAGGAAGTCCGACATGCTCGGGGCGGCGATGGAAAGAATCCTGGCGGCCCGCTGCTGGGCCCCGGCATCCACGACAGCGGCTCCCCTACGAGAGACTGGCATGCACTCAACTGGGTAGCCCAAGCGTTTTGCCAAGACGTCCGTGTTGGTGAGGTCGGCGCTGAGGTCGTTCAGGCGCGTCGGGTAGACGGTGAGGACCCTGCTGATATCTGCTGCAATTGCCTCCCTCATCTCTCCCTTGGACTTGGCCGTGAAGTCCTTGATCCGCGTCTCGGGCCCTAGATTGCTGGCGATGTACACCAGCTCGTCCACGGCGTCGTCGTCGAGGTTGCTGAGCAGGATGGGTGAGAAACGCTCGTTGTCGTAGCCCTGCAACGACTGGACCTTCAGCTTGCGAGGAAGGACGATCCGCGCATTGAACTTCCATGCCGCCCCGAGGTCGCGGTAGGACGTGGAGATCCGCTGCGACTCGTCTCCGAAGATGAGCTTGCAATGGGCACTCTCGTCGGGGTTGGCCATCGTCGCAACCGACTTGCCCAACGCGGCCTGCTGCGGTGCGTGCTGGTCAACGGCCGGAGCCGTCTGCGGCGCCGCCCTCGCAAGCGCGGGCTGTGCCTGCGCGCCCTGCTGCGCTGACAGCAGCATCGTCAACTGCGCAAGGTCAACCTGGGGCTGCTGCAGCTGCGCTGGAGGAGGCGGCGCGGCGGGCGCGGCCTGGCCCATCTGCTGCATGGCCAAACGAAGCAACAGGCTTGTGAGCTCTGGCTGGGTGGCCATATCGTTGGCTGGCTGTTGAGCGGCACTGAATCGCGTATGCCTGATGCCCGATGCTTGAGCCAAGATGCTTACGGATTGTGACACTGGTGTTGAAGCGGGGTTCGCCGACTTGGTTTGGCTCTGTGCGCCTGGGCGTGCATGGCGCCCCCCCCCGTGTCTGGTGTGTCTGCTGTGCACTATGCTTTGCCAAACTGCGCCTGCTGTGCCCTAGAGTGCTCGGCGTGCCGAAGTGCGACGGCGCGCCCGACCAGAGGCTCCCACAGAGCCCCAAGAAGGCTCCAAGAGGGCCCCAATATAGCCCCAATAATGCTTCAATAAGGCAAAGAAACAAGCAAAAAAACACAAGAGGGGTTACATGTCGAAGCCCCTCTTCTGCTGTTTTGTATTTTGGGGGGCCCTCTTGGGGTCCTCCTGGCCCCCCTCTCGGGGCCCTCCTGGCCCCCTCTTAGCGGCCCTCCTGGAGCCGCATTGGGCCCACAACGGGGCGAGGCTGCAACTGCAGCGAGCGCAGTCGGACCGAAGCCCAAACGGAGGGAGGGGCTGGGCAACTGGTAACGGAGGGAGGGAAGACACATGGTAACCGAGTCTTTCGTCGTCGTCGTCGTCATCGACCCCTCCTGCCCTTCTAAATTATCCCCAGCTCTCTGTGTCCACTCGGGAATGCGTTTGCGCTCGCCCCTCGTCGTCGTCGTCGCCATCACCGTCGTCATCATCATAATCATCATCGTCATCGTCATCATCATCGTCATCATCATCGTCGTCGTCCCCTCGCCGCGATTTTGGGCCCGTCCCGAACGCAAATGCATGGGGTGCACCGCGGCGAGACTGCTGCAGTCCCAACCCGAGAGAACCAGTGGGGCCACGGCGGCGTATGGCGGAGCCACGACGACGTCGGCCCAAGGAATGCGACGTCAATCCTACCACGATTTCTGGAACACTCAAGCACGCCAAATAATCATGCCTGGCGTGACGCGACCGAAATCGGCTCCAAGCTAGCTAACTAAAGCGCGCAGGCAGCAGCTGCATAATCTCTGACGAGCTGCTCGTGACAACTGACCTCATGAGGAACTGGTGGCACCATACACAACTGACCTCATGACCAACTGACCTCATGAACAACTGACCTCATGAACAGCTAACCTCATGAACATCCGACCTCATGAACAACTGACCTCACCCCATGAACAGGTGACACCACGAACAACTGACATCATGAACAACTGACCCCATGAACGAAACTTACACCATGAACAATTGACCCCACGAACAACTGACCTCGTGATCACCGAAGCTAGAGCTCAGACATCGCGCCTATCGGTCGGCCAAGGCTGCGGGCTCGCTCAATCGCTGCTGCTGCCGCTGTCGCCACCCATGGCGGACTCGCCGCTCTCGTTGGGGCCTTGGGGAACTTTCGGAACAAGCGGCGGCAGCTCGATCTTCGTGAGAAAGCAGCTCTTGTAACCGTAGTCGGTAGCGACGTCCCCAGCGATGAACTCCACAAGGTGGTTGCGCAAGTGCGTCTGGCGGCGCGGCTCGGAGTGGAGCACCATCTTGGACTGCTTGTGGACGGCCTCGCGCAGGGCCCCCTCGTCAAGTGTTTGCCGACATGGCTGATCTTCGTATCAGGATCGAGATTCGTCGCCACGTAGATGATCGCATCAACGGTCTCCTCCTTCAGCTGGCGGGCGCGGTGCATCGGGAACAGGTCTGGCGCCGCTGACTCCACGAGCGAACGGCGAACCTTTAGCGGCAGCGCGTTCTTATGGTAGTAGGAGGCGCCGAGGTAGAAGCTCGACTTCGCGATGGGGACCCCGTCGTCCACGCGCACAGGAAGCTCGCCAAACACGCGGTGGTCACCCGGATGCGCCTGAAATGGGATGTCAGCTCCGCCTTGCACGGGCCCCGAAGCCTGATCACCCGGCGTGAACATAGTGTCGATGGTTTTTCTGGCCTAACATGTTTGCCTGGCCGTTCTTTGAGATGCCGAGACCCAAGCGCCCCTTGCCGACGCCACTCATGACGTCGTTACTCGAATCTGCTCGAACCCACAAACGGCTGCGGAATGTGTATGTGGTGGCTGTAATGATGGCGATGGTGCCTGCGATGATGAGTTGGTGCTTTTGAACAAAGTAACAATGAAGATGGTGATGGTTTTGTGTTAAGGTTGCCGTAGCATTACGTGCGAACAGAAACCGAACACAGGGGGCTTGCAGGATAACCCCAGGCATCGCGTTCCCCCACGCCACCCCTTGCACGCTCACCCAGACCGCGGGTTAAAGACCTGCACTGACTGACGGCTGCGTGTCACCATCGCGGACATAGCCCCCTGACCTGCGGCCCAGGGGTCCTGTTGGTAAAGTCTGTCCGATAGCTGTTCCACCTGCTCAGGATTCAGAGCCGCCGCGATCTGATCAAGATCTGAGGTGCTGAGGACCTGCCAAGATATGGCACTAGGCCCTTGGCTTGGAGCACGGCTTGGAGCCGCACCCCCCGCCTCGCGCTCGTTGATCATGAGGATCTGGTGGGTCTCGAACTGGTTTCCCAGCGCTGTTGGGTGGTAGTGGTCTCCCAACTCTCTCTGGCAGCAAGGGAACAGCGTGCACGGCGACTGCCCAAGTAGCGTGGGTCCCGCCACTGTTTGCCGGTGGCGATCTCCTCTACATAGTTGATGTAGTACGACTCGATGATGCCGTTGACCCCTTCAGAGAGCAGCACGCCATTGTCGGACCAGCAGAACTCGATTCCGTCCTTCAAGGCCTGGTGCCAGTCCACCGAGATGATGATCTCGGAATCAGGGTCCCATCCACTCTGCACGTCACGACGCTGAAGCGTTGGAACAAAGTGGATGCGTGAACGGCCAATTCCTTTCTTCATGGTGTTGTGCTCTTTGCAGCAGGAAAGGCCAATCCACATGGTGCCCTCGAATGCTGCCCACCGTGCGCCGTGAATGGCGACATCTGGGTATGGGGCCTGTCTCCCGGCAGGATTGTCGTGCAGTACAATGTACTTGTACAGCGACCAAGGGGCCTTGAGCGTCCACGAGTGCCCCTGCGAAGCACGGGTGAACAGTTCGGCCGTGCCAGAATCTCGCATCAAGACCTTGAACTGCAGACGCTGCTTCTCCTCACCATCCGCCTCGTGGACGTGGACGGTCGCCATCATGATTGCAGCCATATGATCGACCGTTCTGCCGTAGAAGGTCTCGGCGATGATCGCGGCATCATCATGCCTCGGGTAGCATCCGTCGTGCCGCGCGCCGTCGCTCCAGGGGAACTCGTGTACTAGCTCGTGGAGGTTGATCCATCCATCGTGATCATCGAACGTCCTCAGCCTCCACACTGGATTGTTCGGTTTATCAGGCGCATGCCTACATATCTTGCTTAGGCACTTGCTGAGCTGCTTGAGCTTATAATTAGTGCTAGGAATGATGTTCTTCTGCCTGCAGCTCTCCATAAGCGCCTCCGTAGAGCACGACGATCGTTGATCAACGCCTGGCTACCGCTCGTGAAGGAGGTATCGCCTGGGTGACGCAGCTTATCTTCTGGCGGGCTTCCCCGCAATGGAGCCTCTGCCGCTGACGAGGCTGCAGCTCCTGATGATGAAGATGCTGCGGCTGCAGCGCCTGGCGGGTTTCCCCGCGGCGTCTCTCGGCTGGCGCTGCTCCTGATCTTAGGCGCCCAGGTACCCCGAGGCAAAGCGCCCTCCTCGGACACCTTGGAGCGCGTTGCCACTAGCGAGGCCGGCGTAGGGTTATACCCTGTACGCTCGAACGCCTTGGCCTTGCTGGCGATGGAGCCACTCCGGCTAGGCTGGAGCCTGCGAATCTCCAGGGAGTCCTGAGTCTGTTGCCTGGGGTCAGGTCTCTGCGCAGGCATTGCTCGAGTCGATGACTTCAGCACTTCGGAGAGGGACCTTCCCATCTGCACATCGAACCCGAGCTCCTCTGAGCGGGTAGAAGGATTCTTCTGTCTCTCGCCCGAAGGTGCCCTGTATTCACGAGTCTCACTTTTAGCTTTTGGGGTCGTTGGTGGCTTCTTTGTTTCGGTTTGTGACTCCAACAGCATTCGGCGAGTTGCCTCGCGGTTGCGCTCTTCTGCCAACCGATTGCGATCTGCCTCTGCTGCGGCTCGTTGTACCTCCTGCTCGTCGTCGCTCGTCATCTCGCACGTTCGATCCTGACTGGAGACACCAGGCGGGCTTCCTCGCGGAGATCGAGTCTCCTGAGGCCCATTGCCTCAAAACGGCCATTGATCGCATCGATCTCTTCTTGGGTCATAGGCACAAGAGGTGGGTGACCCTCCTTTGCAGGAGTGCGGCCCCTGTTCGGGCTCAAGACGTCGCCGAGGCCTACAGGACAACCAGGTCTGTGTTCCTGGAACTCCTGTGAGCACGGACCACAGACAGCATTGGGCCTGTAGCGGCGGCGCTCCTCGATGATGGCTCTCAGCTGTTTCCTCGCTGCCTCTATCTCAGGACGCCGAGTGTTTGTCGCCAGCTGATAGCCGCCCCGTATAGACCTGCCTTGGGCGTCCCTGTAGACCGGGTTGCCCTGTTGAAAGGCAGAGCGCTCGCCCGTCTTGCGCCTAGGGTCGTTGTAAGCGAGCAGCTGGCCCCCGCGTCGAGCAGCATGCTCTGATGGGGCTGCCTGCCGCCATTCACGCGGGGGCCGTCTTTGGGGGTGCGGATCGCCCCTAGGACGCGGATGCGAGCGAGACCTCCCGGCTTGTTCATCCGACGATGCTGCCGACATAGCCTGGGCAAGGGCTGGCGCTGCATCCTGAGTAGACGTTGGCAGCGCATCCTCAACAGGCAGGTCTCCCTGCGGGCTAGGGTCAGGTATGATGGACTCTTGTGCGGGTGGTTGTGCGTCGGGCTCATCTGGGTCGAAATCCACCTCCTCGTCTTCGCCGTTGACGTCCATCAAGAGGATGGTGGTCTCGTCCTCGCACAATCCACAGCCGTCTTCATCTTCAGCTTCTGAAGTAGGATTGCCAATGACAGTGGCAATTGGCCCAGTCGGGACAGGCAGGCCCCCCTGCTGTGGAGGCGTCTGCGCACAGCTAGGATGCCCCGGCGTCGGCGGCATGGCGGTCGGACCAGGCTCGTTACCGAGCACGGCGCGCGTCTCAAGCTGAGCGTAGTCATAAGAAGGCTGCCCGATGATGTTGCGCATGGCAGTATGGTTTGGCTGTAATCCCACCGCCTGGAGACCCCATCCTGGCGGAGGGGGCGCCTGTTCACGCATCGTGATAGCCCTCTGAAGGGCTTGGCGCCAGCGCCCCTTTGCATGCCATACATGCCGTTGCACGTCGTCAGGGAGCGCGCTATCGATGAGGGCGAAGACCGCCAACATCAAGTCCGAGTCGTCACAAACGTCGGAATACTGCAGCACCATGTGGCCGCTCTCAATGCTCAATTGACTATCAGGATACACTTCAACCTGAGCGGCATGCATCTGCATAAGGGTCTGCAGCGCTGTGCATGGTCCGTACTCACCCGGCGCGAGCATACCAGGTGGCTCGCGGGGATTGCCCGGCACGCCCACGGTGAAGGCCAGAGCCTCCAGTTCCATCAATTCGCAATAGTTTGGCGGATGCACTGGAGTAGGCCTGTTTCCATGCAAGGGGCCAGATTGCTGTCGAAGGTTGTACTCGACCTCCGAAGGTGAGGCCTCGACAGTGACGTCCTCGTCGCTGCTCTCGAAGGCCATGATGTTGCCTGGATTGCCGAACATCCAGTCGAAGAAGGAAAGGGGCTGGTTTCCCAGCGTTCCGTTCTCCACAGGCGTGAGCTCGATGGCTCCGACGTTGAACCTGCGGAGGTACTCGAGGTAGTACGCGTAGAGCCCGTGGCCGCGCGCCTCGATCTCGTCCAGCGCGCCCATGTGACTGGCCCAAGTGAAGAAGATCTGTTCCACAGCCTCAAACTCTTGGAGGCTAAGATACCCAATAGCAGGTTCACTTGAGCCCAAATGGACTTCGGACGTGCTACCCTTTCCATTCCCGTTGACTGGACAATCCTTCATGAGATGATCTGCGCTGTCAGATCCATGGCACTTCAAGACCTGGCCGCCTCTACCTCGCGGGTTTCCCCGCCTACCTTTACCTTTGCCGGGGATTTCCCAGCGGCCTTTTCCACGACCTTTTCCCCCGAAAAATATATCAGCATACTGATCATATGAAAGCCTCTGGAGGAAAGCCGTGATGCCTCGCCCTTTCAACCTTCGGCGGCTCCGTTTGCCTTTGCCTTTACCTTTGAAGCTCCTCCTTATCCTCCGCCTAACAAGACGCACTGGTTTTCGTGTAAACCTCCTCCACCTGCGCTTAGCTTGTTGTAAAAACCAAAATAAATGCTCAGCGCGCTGATTATCATCTTCCATGTGCATGATATCTGACCAGTCTAATGTTTCGATGCCGTCTGACGACATCGTGTCGGTGTCGGTGCCTGAATCGAAATCGTCGTTTCCTAGGTAGGTGGACACACCGTCGTTTAGGGGGTTCGCTTCTCCCCATAGAGAGCGGTGAGGCTGAGGTTCTCTAGGAGGGGGGCTGGTTGTCCAGCTTGGTTGTGATCGATCCCCTGCTAGTAGGGCAGTAGATTCACCAGGATCATCGGCCCAAATGTTTGCGGGCCCGTTGCCAAGCTGAGCTTCAGAGGTTGGAGCAGATAGAAATTTCCACTGCCAGTTCCTCTTCCCCTTCCAAACACTGATCCTATGTTGCCAGGAGACCGTTCTGGAAAGTGGCCGACCCAGCGCATTCCTTCACACAGTTCTTCATACTGTTGTTGTGTTCGAGGCATTTGGTGGTTGAGTGGCTGTGAGAGTTGCATAGCTCGCTGGTTGCCAACGCCCAGGGCGCGGAATAAGATAGTCGTAAGTAGTTGGAAGTTGGGAAGGTCAAAGCCCACTGACTGTGCCCCAAGACGGGCCATTTCAAACCGGGTAAGGGTTACATCGATTCGTTCTCCGTGAGGCACATGGAAGTCGATGAGCTGTGTGCCTGAGGTGAGTTGGCGCTCATCCTCCAGGCGTTCGAACTTCATGCTTAGGAGGAACATGGTGTATGTTACTGGGTCGGTGTGGACACCGTCGATATATGCACCATAATTTAGGATGCCAGGTGGTACCCTCATGGCGAGTGTCCTCGCGAGGCCGCCTAAGCCGCGTTGTATGGCGGCTGCTTGGGCTTGTGGTGTCATGCGCCCACTCGTGACGTTTAGCCACGCGTTGACTTCATATACGCACTCGCGAAAAAGGTACGTTGCCTTGAGGGCCCCAGTATGGGCCATGCGTTTGCCCATCGGTGCTATTATCTCCTCGGCGTATGTGTCCGATTGCCGCTCCCAGCGCAAAACATATAATGGCGACGATAACCAACCCTAGGCTGTGGAGGTATGGGTGGTTATCGGGCGCGTTGCCGCGCTGGGGCGGGGATAGTGGCGCCTTGTCGAGTCTACGAGGCGCTTTATCTTGCGGGTCTCCCCGCCTACGCTTCAGGTACTGCGCTTTCGGCTCGTTGCCGAGCGGTTGGTGCTAGCGTAGTGATGAAGCGTACATGGTACCAATGTTGTTGTCTAGACGTCGTACCTCTCGTGTTGCTTCTTGCTCTTGACTTGATCCTCGTAAATGTTGGTGGGGTGATGGCGCAGGGTAGAGAGTGGTCACGAGGATCGTGCCCGGTAGCGTGAGGATAAGAAGAGCAAGAGCTGACCACACGAGAGTGCGGCCAGCTCCGCTACCAAGTCTGAAATGACCCTGGTGGGTCATATTGCATCCAATTCCATGTCGAAATAATACGATATGGGGTGTGGATGGGTAAGATAGGAGAAGCTCGATGTATATATTTTTCCAGCACATGGCGAATACCAAGTCAGGTATCCGGGCAAATAGGGCGCGCGTGCCTTGAGCCATAAGGCAGCGACGCGCAGGCTATACTCCCGATTATCTATAACATCTCCCAAAGAGCTACCTTTAAAGTCCAGGGGAATCTCGCCTCGCGTAGCTTAGGTTTAGTAAGCGGACCGTTCCGCCCATCTGGCGACGACCGCGAAGGAAGACTTGCCAAGGAAGTTCGGACATTCCGTAGCTCCGCGGCAGGAAGAGAGGCTTGAGCCCTGAGCGGTGCTGACAACAACAGAGACAAAACTGACGGTGAGACCGACGTGACTTACCCAACCTGAATTTCCAGATATTCCCTCACGATCCCTGGGCCTACAAGGCTGGCGAAATCGAGGGCGTGCGTAGCATGTGGAGGCTGAGGCATGCATGGCCGAAGGCAGATGCATTCCAGGAGAACGGTGAATCAGGTACGTGCGCATTGCGCAACCTCTTTGGCACGAGAAGCATGAGGTGTTGGCATGTGTCTCTTCTGTCATCCGACGGCCCAAGACGGCCCAAGAGGCCTCCAAGATCGCCGCAAGAGCGCCAAAGAGACCTCAAGATGGCCCCAGAACGGCCCAAAGAGGACCCTAAGGTGGCCCGAAGAAGCCCCCAAGACGGTCCAAGGGCCTTCAAGACGCCCAAGATGGCCTGCAAGACGGCCCTGAGAGGGCCCATAGACGGCCCAAAAAGGCCCTCAAGACGGCTTCCGGCGGCGTCAGACGTGATGGGAATGCCCTACGACGGCCAAAGAGGCGAGGCCTCTAAGAAGCTGCCGAAGGCCCCCAAGAGGCCCAAAAAGACTCTCAGGAGACTTCCAAGATGCCCCCAAAGCTCCCGGGATACCCCAGAGACGAGACGAGACGAGACGAGACGAGACGAGCACACAGTCCGGCCGGCGGCCGACCCGCGTGGGGCGCTGTTCTGGGGCCGCAGCCCTCAGAAGTCGACGAACTCGTTGGCAAAGTTCAGCCAGCCACCAAAGAAGTTACACCAAGAATCGTGGAATCCTTTCCCTTGAAGAAGAAATTGAACATCGTCTGCCCATCGACGTCGCGGTCGCCCTTGAGAGCTCGAGCAGCTGGCCGTTTGCTCCGGCTCCCACTTGGCATCCGGAAGATCCCAAGAGTGCTCCAATAGGCTCCTGAGAAGCGTCCTCCTCCTCCTTTTTCATCCCTCTCTTCCTCTTCTTCTTTCTTCCCGCTGTGTCCTCCGAAGGGTTTCCAGAATGGCCGAGGTGAGCACATAGTCCGATAGCCTGGCCGAGCTTTGGCCATAACGTTCGGCCACATGGGCGGTTCCAAGAAGGCAATGGGCGGCGGCGATTCGCCGCAGGCGTCCTCGATAGGAGCAAGGAAAGGCGACACCACCACCACCTGCGCGAGGCACCAGGTGGTGTGGCCCCCCCCTCTCGTTCGATCCCAGGCTCGCGGATGCATTGTGGAACCCATCGCTGGAGGTGGCCTCCCTGGTGGTGGTGGTGTCGCCTGTCCATCCTCGGACCGGAAGTGTGTGGTAATGCTCTGCTTTCTTCTTCTCGGCGGCGAACCCAGGGGGGAAGCGAGAAGTGGCCACATACTGCTTCATGCGGCTGCGGATAAGGTAAGGCTGACAAGGCTTCTCAGAAGGCGCGGGGGCTTCTGAGAAACCCCGCCACCTTCTACAACCCCCCCCTTACGTAGCCAATCCCTACCTCAACCTGACCCAGGCCCAGTCGACACTGCGCAAAAGCTTACACTGGCGCCTGGGCGGCAACAACATTTTGTTCATAGGTGTGGCCCACGCACAAGCCAGAGCATCATTCCGAGACAAGCGTTTCGCCAGAATGCAGGTGTCATGCCCGTTCCGCGCGGGCCGGGCTCGGTGCCACCCAGGTCTGGGCTACGTTAGGTGGGTAGTTCACGTTAGGGGGGGGGTTGTGCTGAGAAGGCCTGCCCCCTCTCACTGCTCCCCTGGACTCGCCGCCGACCTTCAAGAGGAGGCGACCTCGATGGCATGCCACGCGCGGAGGCGCTGCAACAACTGCTCCACGGCGCCCGGTGCCGCGGCCCTCTCCGCGCGGGCGGCCATCGCGAACACTCCTGCGGTCCACGCGCGGGAGGGGCCGGGCACGGTCGGGAGCCTCCGACAACGGCTGCGGCTGCGCGCAGTGCTCGGCGACGCGCCGCGTTCGGCCCGGTGTTGATCGGCATGGGGCCCTCTGACCCCCAGATCTGCGATCTGACTTTGACAATGCCGCCAGATTTCCCCATACATAATCCAGGGTCTGGGCCCCCCGCTCCCCCCTCTTGCTGTGGGTGTGGCGTGTGTGGCATGGTACTGTGGCGCTCCAGGAGAGCTCCGGAGGAGGTCGTCGTCGTCGTCGTCGTCGTCGCCGTCGTCGCCGTCGTCGCCGTCGTCGTCGTCGTCGTCGTCGTCGTCGTCGTCGTCGTCGTCGTCGTCGTCGTCGTCGCCGTCGCCGCCGTCGTCGCCGTCGTCGCCGTCGTCGTCGTCGTCGTCGTCGTCGTCGTCGTCGTCGTCGTCGTCGTCGTCGTCGTCGTCGTCGTCGTCGTCGTCGTCGTCGTCGTCGTCGTCGTCGTCGTCGTCGTCGTCGTCGTCCCCCCCCATCCCATCACGGGGGGGGGCGCTCAAAGGACCCTGAGACCCATCTCATCTGGAAGGGTGTGCCCGTGGGCCCGGAGCCCAGGATCATACATTTCGGCCCCTACGGGCCCGTTATCGGGCCTGGACCCCATCAGACGGACTGGGGACTGGGAGTTCTTGGGCCGCGAGCTGAAAAATCGCAGGATCGTTGGATGTCTGGGTCGGTGCGCAGCACGAAAATCGCGACGACCAATTGTTTTCAACGATCTCGGAATCTGGGCGCTGCTTCGAGGCCCCGATGCCGTCAAAAGACTGTCCTGGGTGCAAAACTGGCCCCTGAGAAGTGGTCGAGATGCCTGGGAACTCACGTGAAGAAACGTACTGCGACGTTGGACGACAAGGGAAACGGAGGAGGACTATAGATTACCGGTCATGCCCTTGAGACTAAGAATTAAACTGTGATGCCGGGTGGGGCTCCAACGCTCTCTCATCCCTGAAGTCCGGGCAACCCTCCAGTCGGATGAAGCGTGGAAGTCCCACCATGCGATGATTGCAACACGCGGACAATGCTTCGCACCTGGTAGCTGGCGGCTGGTAGTCCCGATCCGCACACTGTGCGACAACCAACTCTGCCCGCTCAGGCGGGAAGCGGAGGAATAACTAATGACACGAGGTGCGCGTCGCTAAGGCGAGCACGACGTTGAACATAACTAGGTGATCAAATGCGCAAGGACAAACGCGCGCTGTATTCGATCGAAGAACAGATTCCGAAAACAAATCGCCATCTCTCCGTGCAGCCTTTGGGAGCTGCTGAGACGAATGCGCGCGACCCTGAAGTGAGTGCATACTTTCGAGCACGCATCGCCCTCCATCAATATAGCAGATAGGATCGTTTGAAACGAATGCACGAAGCGCCGCGGTGAGAATCACCATATCGAAGATACCGCCCTCTATACGTGAAACTGTGGTGTCAAAAACCAGCCGTCCTCTAGAAGTGCAGCTGTTAAACTTTAGCCTGGCGAAGGACATAACCGTCTGTAGCTGTGAATCATGCAGTTGTGAATATTGTTTTCGGTGGAGCTCTCTGTGGGGCCACGAAACGTGTGAGGGGTGTGCCGAAATGGGCGCGGCGGGCGCATGCGAACGCAGCCACTGAGGCCTTCGGTGGAGCTCGGTGTGGGGTCAATAATCATTTGAGGGGGTGTGCCGAACTGATGGCGGCCGACGCATGCGACCGCAGCCAATGATCGGTGGAGCTCCCTATGGGGCCTCGAAACGCGTGAGGGGCGTGCCGGAATGGGTGCGGCGGGCGCATGCGAACGCGGCCACTGCGGCCTTCGGTGGGGTTCCCTATGGGGCCACGTGCGACGGGCCATGCGAACGTGTGAGGGGTGTACCGAACTGAGTGCGGCCGGCGCGTGCGAATGCAGCCACTGGGGCGGGCCTTCGATGGATCTCCCTATGGGACCACGAAGCGTGTGAGGGGTGTGCCGACATGGGTGCGGCGACCGCATGCGAACGCAGCCACTGGGGATTTCGGTGGAGCTCCCCTTGGGGCCACGAAACATGCGAGGGGTTTGCCGAAATGGGTGGCCCGTCGCATGCGAACGCACCCACCGGGGCATTCGATGTGGCTCCCTATGGGGCCACGAAACGTGTGAGGGTGGTGCCGCCATGGTTGACTGGTGCGGAGGGCAGAGGCAGGGATCGAAGGAGGGAGGAGCAGGAGGATGAGGAGGACCAAACCAAACAATATTCATTGCGCGCGGCGCTAAAGCGAGACCCAAATCGTGAACCACAACTAGTTACAACCTTCCATCCGTGTAGCTGTTCGACGAGTTGGGAGCCTTCCAGGCGTGAGCGCAGCACAACAACGAAAACTACATCAGGTTGAAAACTATATGCCCAACTTTCACCGCGCTCTGTACACGCACCGCTATCCATCAATATAACTGTTGGGAGCGCTTCATTTCCTGATATGAAACAAGGACCACGCCACCGAGATCCCATCGGGGGGGGCCGAACCCTGTACGGTGGTACGCCCGAGCGTTACCCAGCACAGGACGACCGACGCTCAAGCGTACCACTGCCCCATGGGTTGCCCCTCCCCCCCATTGGGTTCTCAGTGGCGGTGGTATATCTTTCTCCTCTGGCTTGTCAGAAACGTACCGCGCACCCAGTTCGGAAGATCGGCATTCGAATGCCGAGACCCACGTATATGGAGCACACGACACAGAACTGGCCAAAAGGCGCCACCTCTCATAGAGTGAAAGGTTCGCTGGTCTTCTAAGGAGACTGCCTCGCCTGGGCAGAGTCCCCCTTCCACCTCCGCCAATTCCTCCTCGCCCTCGCCCTCCTCACCCTCTAGAGAAATGTTGCACAGAATCCACGCGGTGCTGCGGCCCGGACCACATCTGGAAGCTAAGCCGCCTCCCGCTTTGTAACTGCTGACGGCTCGACAACTTCCAGGTGGCGAGCCCTCCCCCCTCCCCTTGCGGTTCTACCGAAAACCGCTCGGCGCTCATCTCGGCCCCACGCCCCACGATCAACCAAGAGACCAGGACTCCTCCCGCTCTGGCCCACAAAACCGCATGGACGCTTCAAGAAAGCTAAAGAGTGCTTCATAATAGAAGCTGTTTGGCAAGAGCATGGGAGGCCAAACGCGTTCAAAAACGCCCCGGGGCAGCAACAACATGCCACAGTACGAATTGGAAAGATGGCGGGTTGCGAAATATGTGTGAGTGTCTGCTGATCGGAAGAAGGCGTGTATAATCCCACTCGTAAAACATGTTTATCAGAAAGAGGACACGCGGTGTTCTTCGCACGGTGCGCTTTGCAAGCGCCGCGGTACGGTGTTCAGTTTTGGAAAACGCAACCTGGAAGATGGAGCTTCGGCAATGGCATCTCATTTAGTCAACATGGTCTGGTAATCTTCAGCTGCGAAGTCTGAGCTGAACCTGAGCAGTCTATGACATGCGATCTGAACAATAAGCACAACATGCGCAGGCTGACATTCGAGAGGATGCAAGGCTGGGGCTTGAACTGGGCTGGTGCTGAATCTGGTTGGGGCTGGAGGTGGATATGGAACTGGGGCTGAGGCTGGAACTCAGCTGGAACCTGAGTTGGAAATGAAGCTGGAGCTGGAGCTGTAGTAGACGGGCCTGTGGCTGAAGCAGAGTTGGAGAGCTGGAGCGAGCGATGCTGCAGCTGGAGTTGGATCTGGGACTGGTGCGGTTCGAAGCTGGACCTTGAGCTGGGCTGGGGCTGGAGATGAAGCTGGGCTGGAGCTAACGCTGGGTCTGGAGCTGGGGCTTGAGCGCTGGATCTCAAGCTGCAGCTCGAGTGCGAGCTGGGAGGAGCTCGGCCGGATCTAGAGCAGGAGCTGGACGTAGAGCTGGAAGTGGAGTGAAGCTGGAGCTGCGGCTGGACCAAAGCTGAAGCTGGAGCTGGAGCTCGGGGTGGAGCTGGGGCCAGAGCTGGGGCGGGCAGGAGCCTGGCTGCAGCTGGAGATGGGCTAATGCTCGAGCCAACTCTGGGCAGGAGCGGGACCGGGAGCTAGAGCCGGGGCAGGAGCTGCGGCAGGGGCTGGTGCTGGAGCATAGCTGGATCTAAGTTGGATCTGGAGCCTGGGGGCATGACGAGAAACACACACTGGAGAGGTTGGCTCCTGACGCTCAAAGTCAGGCCTGGGAGTGGATGTCGCTCCACATGAAGAACACCGCTCCAGGCGCTCTAAATCAGGCCTGGGAGTGAGGTGCTGGCAGCACGAAGAGCACCGCACGCAAGAGTGTTGGCTCCAAATATCGAAAATCAGCTCCAGGAGTGGAGCTTCGGCGACACGACGAAAGATCGGCGCTTCTGGAGTGCTATTGCACAATAATGACCCGAATGAAACCCGTTGGTGAAACCCTGGCAACACGATGTACCGGTCGACTGCAGTACCGTAGACGAAGAAATTCAACGTTTGGTTTCCACCATTCAAGGCCCGCAAATCTGCCGGCCCACTTGCGGACCCATCAGGCTGCGAAGATTAGACTTTCAGGGTCCCTGCACCAGTTCCAGTTTCAAGTCACCAATGTAACAGTCCTGCTTTCTGCTTCCTACTGTAAATTGTTGCTGAACGCGCGAGCGGGGGGAGCCCCAAACCAGCCTTTGTACCACGCCCAAATCAAATTACGGTATATTCGCGTCCCCGAGGCCATAAACCCGAGAAGTTTACGCAATATTCGCGTCTCCGAAACAATAATGCTTCATACATGAAACGATCGTTGCGTCACCGAGGCCACAAGCCTTCGTAAATCCCACCAGCCCTTTGGGCGTGAGTGGTTTAGAGAGCCCCCTCTGTCCTCAACCCCCCAACCCTCCTTCTTCCCCTTCGGGGAAAGGTTTACCCCTCCCCCTACCCCCTCCCCCTGGGCCTGGACAGGGAGTCCCGCGGGTGGTCAGGGGGGTATTTTTCGACGCCTGGGAGGGCCAAAAAACGACGACCCTCACGAGGATTCTGGCCCCGACGGGGGGGCGCTCTTGTAGCCCCCTCCTCTTCTGTGAAGCCAAAATCA